CACCCAGACTAAAAGCGAAAAGATAGAAAAAATATTCCACATAAATGCAAATGAAAAGAAAGCTGGGGCGGCAGATGTATATCAGACAGGACAGACTTTAAAACAAAGATGTTATCAAGAGACAAAGAAGGGCATTACCTAACGATCAAGGGATCAATCCAAGAAAATATAACAATTGTAAATGTATATGCACCCAACATGCGTGCATGCATGCTAAGTCACTTCAGTGGTGTTTGACTCAGTGTGATCTTACGCACTGTAGCCCACCAGTCTCCATTGTTCATGGGATTCTCCAGGTAAGAATACTGGAGTGGGTTGCCATGCCCTTCTCCAAGGGACCTTCTCAACCCAGGGAGTGAATGTGCGTCTCTAGTGTCTGCTGCAGTGGCAGGAGGCTTCTTTACCACCAGTGCCAGCTGGGAAGCCCAACACAGGAGTGCCTGAATAAATTAAGCCAACAGGATTACAATAATGGTAGGGGACTTTCAGCACCCCATTTATATCTATGGACAGGTCATCCAGAAAAACTATCAATAAGGAAACACTAGCCTTAAATAACACACTTGACCAGATAAATTTTCTATGTATATATAGAATATGGGCTTCCCTGGTAGCTCAGATGGTGAAGAATCTGCCTGTAACACAGGAGACCTGGGTTCAATCAGAACATAAGCAAAAAGCAGCAGAATACACATTCAAGTGCACAAAGAACATTCTCTAGGATATGTTGCCAAAAAACAAATCTGAATAAATTTGAGATGACAGAAATCATATCAGTGGTATGAGAAGAAAAATCAACAAGAAAAAAAATGAAAAAGCACAAACACATGCAGCCTAAACAATATGCCACTGAACAACCAACAGGACACTGAAGAAATCAAAAGGAAATAAAAATCTGGAGACAAATTAAAATGAAACACAATCCATGACACATGACAATAATCCAAAGTCTATGGAACACAGCAACAGCAGTTCTAAGAGGAAAGTTTACAGTCATACAAGCCTAGCTCAGGAAATAAGAAAAATCTCAAAGCAATCTAACCTTATACCCAAAGGAAATGGAAAAATTAAAATAAACCAAACCTAAAGTTAGTAGAAGGAAAGAAATAATTAATATCAGAGCAAAAATAAATAAAATAAAGACTAAAAACCAGAAAAGATCAGTGAAAGAGCTGGTTCTTTGAAAAGATACACAATATTAATAAATCTTTAGCCAGATTCATAAGACAGGGCCCAAATAAACAATTGAGAAATTACAGATGAAACCACAAAAATAAAAAAGATCATTAGAGATTACTGTGAACAAATATACATCAACAAATTGGGCAATTTAAAATAGATGTATTCCAAGCAATATAAAATCTCCAAAGACAATCAGGAAGACACAAAAAATATGAAGACTGGTTACCAGTAATGAAACTGAGCCAATAATTGTGAAAATTTCCAACAGAGAAAAATCCAGGACCAATAGGTGATATTCTAGCAAATATTTAAAGAGTTAATACCAACTCAAACTATGCCAAAAAACTGAAGACAAAGGAACACCTTGGAGTGCATGCTGTAAGATCAGCATCACCCTAACAAAACAGGCAAAAACACCACCCCAAAATAAAACTACAGGCCAGTACCACTGATGAACACAGGTGCAAAAACTCTCAAAATATTAGTACACTGAAATCAACAAGGCACCAAAAAAATCATATACCATATCAAGTGGACTTTATCCTAGAGACATATGATTAAAGATGATTTAATAATCCACAAACCAATCAATGAGATATACCACTTTAACACACTGAAGAATAAAAATGATATGATCATATCAATAGATGCACAAAAAGCTATTGATAAAATTCAATATCCATTTATGATAAAAAAAAAAAACTCTCTAGAAAGTGAGCACAATATATATATTGTGAACCTACCTCAATATAATAAGGCCATATATGACAAGCCCACAGTTATCATACTCAATGGTGAAAAGCTGAGAGCATTTCTTCTAAAATCAGGAACAAGACAATGATGTCCACTCTTGCCACTTTTATCCAATATAGTTTTGGAAGTTCTACCCACAGCAAACAGGGAAGAAAAATAAATAAAAGGAATCTAAATTGGAAAAGAAGAAGTAAAACTGTCAATGTTTGCAGAGGACATGACCATATATAGAAAATCCTAATAATGCTACCCAAAACTACCAGAATTAATTTAATACATAAACTCAGTAAAGATGTAGGATAAAAATGTAATATTCAGAAACATGCTGTGTTTCTATACACTAATAACAAACTATCAGAAAGAGAAACTGATCACATTTACAATTTCATCCAAAAGAATAAAATACCTCAGAATAAATACAACCAAAGAGGCAAAAAACTTGTACTTAGAAAGCTATAAGACATGGATGAAAGAAACTAAAGACAACAAAAGCAAATGGAAAGAATACTATGCTCATGGGTTGGAAGAATTAATATGGTTAAAATGATGATAAATCCTAAAGTAATCTATAGATTCAATGCAATCCCTGTCAAAATACCCATGACACTTTTCACAGAACTAGAACAAATAATTCTAAAATTTGTCTGGAAACACTCCAAATAGCCAAAACAATCTTAAGAAAGGAGAACAAAGAGAGAGGTATCATGTTCCCTGACTTTAAATTATATTACAAAGCTACAGTAATCAAAATAGTCTGATATTAGTACAAAAAAAAAAATACATGGGAAAATGTAACTAAATAGAGTACAGAAATAAATCAAAACTTAAATGGTCAATTAATCTCCAACAAAGAAGGCAATGGGGAGTAGACAGTCTCTTCAATAAATGATGCTGGGAAAAGTAGACAGCTACATGCAAAAGAATTCAAGGATTGCATTCTAATATCATGCACAAAAATAAACTCAAAATGAATTAAAGACTTAATGTAAGACCTGAAACCATAAAATTCCTAGAGGAAAGCATAGACAGTATGATCAAAGCAATATTTATTGGATTTCTCTCCTCAGGGAAGGGCAACAAAAGCAAAAATTAACACATGGGACTACACGAAATTAAGAAGCTTTTGCACAGTGAAAACTATCAACAACTAGGTAGGCAGCCTACCAAGTGAAAGAGGTATTTCCAAATGAACCATCCAATAAGGAGTTTCCATCCAAAATAAACAAAAAACTCATACAACTCAACATCAAAAATAAAAATAAAAATGGGCAGAGTACTTGCATAGACATTGCTCCAAAGAAGACATACAGATGGCCAACAAACGTATGAAAAGGTAGTCAGCATCACTAATTACCAGGGAGATGCAAATCAAAATCAAAATAAGATTTATATCATACCTGTCAGAATGGCTATTTTCAAGAAGTTAACAAATAAGAAATATTGGTGAAGATGTAAAGAAAAACCCTTGTGCACTGTTTGCAGGATTGTAAACTAGTACAACTACTATGGAAAACAGTATGGAGGTGCCTCAAAAAATTAAAAATACAACTACCATATAATTCACCAATTCCACTTTCTTCACACCCGAAGAAAACCAAAACAGTAACTGGAAAAATATGTGCACCTCTACATTCATTGCAGCACTGCTTACAATAGCCAACATATAAAAGCAACCTGTGTCCATTAATAGATAAAAGGATAAAGAAGATGTGGTACATATACAATGAAATATAAATAGGCATAAAAAAAAATGAAATCTTACCATTTGCAACAACATGGATATACCTAGAGGATATCATGCTAAGTGAAATAAGTCAAACAGAGACTACAAATACTACATGATTTCATATGTGAAATCAAAGATAACAAAACAGAATCAACAAACACAGAGAAAAAAAATGGGTGATTGACACAGGTGAGTACAGTGGAAAGAGGAGAATTAGGTGAATAGTTAAGTGATACAAACCTATAATTATGAAAAGAATAAAGACATGGGGATGTAATATACAACATAAAGACAGTAATATTATAGTAACTCTGTATGGGGATATGTGGTTGAAGGACTTACATAGTGATCATCTGATCATTTCATAAAGCATGCAAATGTCAAATCATTAAACAGTGCTCTTGAAACAAAATACTGTACATCAACTGTATTTTTTTAAAGGGTTTAAAGACAGAAAAATGAATTTAAAGGCTTCCAGCGAGGCATGAGTAAACTACTTTTTTGTCCTAAATACTAAAATTATTCTATGTATTTTTATAACTAAGTATCCACTCTATTTTCTTATATTTCTGAATCAAAAGGCATTTACTAAACATTTATTTGTTCACTATAAACACTGATGAGGCAAATGTGAAAATCATTTGAAGAAATGCAGAACAGTAAAAGCAATTTACTTTCGTCAAAATATGAAAGTGCTAAAAGCTCTTATAAACTGCAAAAAGGCAAACTTAGCCAATATATGCAAATATAAATGCAAAAGCGGGAGGCAGAGCATAAAATTGTACTTGTAGGTCATGTACACATGTATGTACATAACATGATAACAATAATGAAAAACAAAGACGAAGAGTAATTTAAAACAAAACAATAGCATTTTCTTCTACTACAATGCTTAATTTCATAACAATAAAATGTTAATAAGAAAAGAAAATGTGGGACTTCCCTGGTGGCACAGTGGTAAGAATCTGCCTGTCAATGCAGAGGACAAGGGTTTGATCCTTGGTGCGGGAAGATTCCACATGTTATGGAGCAACTAAGCTCATGTGCCACAATTACTGAGCCCGGCTCCAGAGCCTGCGAGCTGCACCCACTGAGCCTGTGTGCTACCGAAGCCCGCGCGCCTAGAGCCTGTGCTCGGCAACCAGAGAAGCCATCACAATGAGATGCCCCTCACTGCAGTGAAGAGCAGCCCCCTCTCACCACAACCAGAGAAAGCCCTCGTGAAGCAAGGAAGACAGAGTGCAGCCACAAATAAGTAAATATAAAAACAGAAAATGTGGAAAGAAAAGCCCACGTCTGTTTACATTTTATAAACGTCCATGACCAAAACATTTCATACCTGTAAACATGGCATGAAAGTAAGGACTACAGGCAGCCAGCACCACTCTATGAGCAGAAATTTCCATGTCTTCGGCCACAATCGTGACATCACACAGCAAATTCTGACTGTTGATGAGAGAGAGAGAAAAAATTTAAATGATAAAAACAGTAAATGTATTGAACATCCTATGAAAGCTTTTACAGTAAAAGCCCAATTTTCTGAAGACTTAACTAAAAACTGCCATCCTAAATGAGTTCCCAAAAGTGAGTCAACTGCATCTATATGTCTCTTTTCCTTTTGTCAATAATCCCTCCTAGTGCTCGAGTTTCAAGATGGATCTTAAATGGAATTACACTGAACAGCTCAAAACCACTTAATTACATTCAGCTTCAATTATAATTACTCATTGATCCCAATCTTTTATCACATAATTATCTTGGCCTTACTGTCTTATTGGTAAGGTAATTAATATCAGTTAGTCGCTCAGTTGTGTCCAACTTTTCAAGCCAATGGAGTATAACCCACCAGGCTCCTCTGTCCATGGAATTCTTCAGGAAAAAATACTGGAGTGGATAGCCATTCCCTTTTCCAAGGGATCTTCCTGACCCAGGGATCAAACAGAGTCTCCTGCATGGCAGGCAGATACATTATCATCAGAGCCACCACGGTGTAACAGTGGCTCACTAGCTGACGTTCATTAACGAGTAAGATAAAAACAAAGGCAAACCAGTATTAAGTCACACCCTGGGATAGGTCACATGGAGTTTAACGCCACATTATAGATCAAAGACATGTTTAGTTTTAGTATTCAATTCCAGCAACAACGTATTTTTAAAACAGTACTTGCAGACAAGAGAGATTTGACCAGTCTTCCTATCATTCAGCCAGTTTGTGTCTCCTGAACGTGGCCCTTACCTGTTCCTTCCAAGTGTGCATGCTCACAAGACGCTGAATGACTTTGGATGAGGAGAAGATAGCTACAAGTAAAGTCCAGCAATAAAAATAACAGAAATTTGTTTTAGCAGCCCATAGCCAAAGTATACATGGTGAGTTTATATTTCTACTATGTGAAATCAAATTAGGCAATTGACTATAAAATTAAAGTCTTTCAGAATGAAGGTATAAATAAAGTTGCTAATTAGCAAAATCTACATTTATTCATTCATTCACCAAATATCTAAAGTGCATACAGGGCACCAAGGACAATGTCAGTTTAGCACAATAAATAAGACAATGCCCATGATAGAAAGGAATCTACCCTGGAGGCTGGGAAAGAGACAAGCTAACAGATACTCACAAAATGAATTGACAGCTCTTAGGATGGAGGAGCCTGGTAGGCTGAAGTCCATGGGGTTGCGAAGAGTCGGACACGACTGAGCAACTTCACTTTCACTTTTCACTTTCGGGCATTGGAGAAGGACATGGCAACCCACTCCAGTGTTCTTGCCTGGAGAATCCCAGGGACAGCGGAGCCTGGTGGGCTGCTGTCTATGGGTCGCACAGAGTCGGACACGACTGAAGCGACTTAGCAGCAGCAGGGCAAGTGTGGGAGGCTGGAGTACACAGCACACAGGCCAAGCCCTAACATACAGGAAAGCTTTGGAAAGAGGATAACTTCTAAGCTCAAGTCTGGAGAAGAACAGGGGTTACACAGGCCTCATACAAAACTCAAATGACACAGAAAAAAAATAGGCACTCATCTCCCAAGTGAAACATCGTAACAATTGGTCCTTCTCAGGAAAAAAACTCCTTTGAAAATAAATCACACCCAAATATATCAACACACTCTTTGGTTTTCAGGTATCAAAGGAGTGAATTTCTAAGACTAGAAAACCCTATAGTTTCTGTATATACAGAAGCCTTCCCTAACCATTGGGAAGGCATTCTAAGACCTCCAGTGGATCCCTATAAATCGCAGATAGCACTGGAACCTGTATGTACTATGTTATTTCCCATACATATATACCCATGATAAAGTTTAATTGATAAATTAAGCATAGTAAGAGATTAACAACAGTAATAATAAAACAAAACAATAACTATACTGTAATAAAAGTTATGTGAACGTACTCTCGCTCTCTCAAAATATCTTACTATACAAATTTAATGTGTTTTCCATTTTAACTGAGCAATTATCATGCCCCGTGGCTATAACTTTCACAGTTTGAGGTGTGACAGCAAAATTAGCACAAATTTCTTTTTCGTTTTTCACAATTTCACAGATGGAAGGTTCATTCTTACCACAGACCTTAGCAACAACAGCACATGATGTTTCTTTCTTCTGTTAAGTCAAGAACATTTACACTTTCCACTGAAAGGAAGTACTTTACAGCTTATCTTTGGCATATCTGAATTGCCAGCATCACTTCTCCTGCACTCTGGGACCATTATGAAGTAAAATCAGGGTCACTTGAAGACAAGGACTGCAACAGTCACCCCAGTGGCTGAGAACGCTGCCGAGTGACTAACGGCTGAGACACGCTGGACAGAGGGGTGAGTCCCGTCTCAGGCTGGCGAGAGCAGGACAATATCACCCACCACCAGAACAGGGCTCAATTTAAAGTTTATGAAGTTTATTTCTGGAGTCTTCCATTTAATATTTTCAGACTGTAGTTGACCATGATAACTGAAACCTTGGATAAGGGCGGGACTAATGTGTATCTTCTTAAAGTGAGAATGTGCCATTAGGCTCTGAGGTATCTAAAATAATTGGTAGTTTCAGGAAACAAGAATTTACTTTCTACTGGAGGTGGGGGTGGTAGAGAGATTATGCAACATCTGTCCACCTTTCTTCCTCAGGTGCACAGGATGAGCCAGACTCAGAGCTGGTCAGCTGCTTCATCAGATGCTGGCTGCTCAGCATGAGGGGAGGTGAGATAGAAAAACAAGCTGTTTTAAAAATGAAAGGGTTCCTGATCTCTGACTTAAATCAGTCATATTTAACCAAACCTCCTATAACTGATAATATCATTCAACAGACAAGCAAGATGCAACCTAGATAAAACGTCAATAATCTTGAAGAGCAACACAGCTCCGTAACAAGTGGTACCGCCATCAACCATGTCTCCTTAAGACAACGATGGCTCGAGTCTGAGTTTCTGCAGCAGTGAAGCACAAGGAAAACCTAGCTGCTGGCTCACCACCACGTTCAGAGTCCTGAAAAACAGCACAGACTGCACCTGCTGAGATTTCAAAGCAAGGTAAGAAAGGGTGATGGCCAACTATGGTCAGTGATTTAGAAAGTGCCTTAAACAAGAAAAGGATCCCAGAACAGAGAATTTCACACAGAAACACGAGAGAAGAATGACAGGGAAAAGAGATAAAACAGAGTCACAAGAAGATGTGGCAAGAAGCACATTACTGAGTATTTGTAGAGAAGGGAAGGTAAAGAATCCAGATTTAAGGACTTCTAAGATACTTGGTCACAGGTAAGAGGGAAAAAAAACCAGTAAGTGGAAATAAAATGAAAGAAGATATGAGCAACAGGGAAAAGATAATAGGGATGAAGCAAAGTGGAAACATGAGGATTTTACAGAGAGGAAACAGTAATGGTAGAAGTGAGTTTCTGAACATGTGTGATGAAAACTCAACTATGTGCAGAAAAAGGAAAATATGTATAAGGAAAACATCTTCATTAAAAAATATTTTAAAAATCTGACAAAATAAAACATGAGCTAGATACTCTTGCTGTTATTGCTGCTGTTCAGTCACTAAGCTGTACCCGACTCTTTGTACCCATAGACTGCAGCACACCAGGCTCCTCTGTCCGCCATTATCTCTGGGAGTTTGCTCAAATTCCTGTTCACTGAGTTGGCGATGCTATCTAACCTTCTCATTCTCTGCTGCCCCTTTCCTTTTGCCTTCAACATTTCCCAGCATCAGGGTCTTTTCCAATGAGTCACCTCTTCCCATCAAATGGCTAAAGTACTGAAGCTTCAGCATCAGTCCTTCCAATGAATATTCAGGGTTGATTTCCTTTAGGGTTGACTGGCTTGATCTCCCTGCTGTTCAAGAGACTCTGAAGAGTCTTCTTCAACACAACTCAAAAGCATCAATTCTTTGACATTCAGCTGGCTTTATAGCCCAACTCTCATATCCGTACATGACTATCAAAAAAATAATAGCTTTAATTACATGAACTTTTGTTGGCAAAATAATGTCTGATTTTCAAAAAGCTGTCTAGGTTTGTCACAGCTTTCATTCCAAGGAGCAAACATCTTTTAATTTCATGGCTGCAGTTACCATCCGCAGTGATGTTGGAGCCCAAGAAAATAAAATCTGTCAGTGCTTCCACTTTTTTCTCTTCTGCTTGCCATGAAATGATGGACCTGGATACCATGATCTTAGTTTTTTGAATGCTGAACTTCAAGCCAGCTTTTTCACTCTCCTCTTTCACCTTGATCAAGAGGTTCTTTAGTTTCACTTCACTTTCTGCCTTTAGAGTGGTATCATCTGCCTATCTGAGATTGTTGATATTTCTCCTGGCAATCTTGATTCCAGCTTGTGCTTCTTCCAGTCTGGGATTTCATAGTAATGCATTCTGCATATAAGTTAAATAAGCAGGGTGACAATATACAGTCTTCTCATACTCCTTTCCCAATTTTAAATCAGTCAGTGGTTCCATGTCCGGTTCCAACTATTACTTTTTGTCCTACATACAGGTTTCTCAGGAGACAGGTAAGTTGGTCTGGTACTCCCATCTCTTTAAGAATGTCACACAGTTTGTTGTGATCCACACAGTCAAAGGCTTTAAGCATACCCAATGAAGCAGAAGCAGATATTTTTCTAGAATTCCCTTGATTTCTCCATGATTCAACAAATGCTGGCAATTTAATCTCTAGTTCCTCTGCCTTTTCTAAACCCAGCTTGTTCATCTGGAATTTCTCATTTCAAGTACTATTGAAGCTTAGCTTGAAGGATTTTGAGCATAACCTTGCTAGCATGTGAAATGAGCACAATTATACAGTAGTTGGAACATTCTTTGCCATTGTCCTTCTTTGTGATTGAAATGAAAACTGAACTTCTCCTTCCAGTCCTGAGGCCACTGCTGAGCTTTCCAAATCTGCTGATACTGAGTATAGCACTTTAACAGTATCAACTCTTGGGATTTTAAATAGCTCAGCTG